CGGATTTTTCGCGTTTTCGCGTTTTTCGTGTTTTTCATGGTTTTCGCGTTTTTTCCACTGTTTTTTCACATTGTTCGTGCTTTTCGCGGTTTTTTTTCGCGTTTTTGGCATGTTTCGCGATGTTTGCTTTTTTGGCGGTTTCGCCGTTTTTCACATTTTTTGTGTTTTCGCTTTTTTTCGCGCGTTTTTCCGTATTTTTCTCGCTTCCTCCGCTTAAAACGAGACAACGAACGGTTCAACTCATATTGAATTCGATAGAATATGTAGAGATTAAATTGAATATGATATCCTGAATATATATAATATGACATATCCTATATTTTATATTCATATCAAAGATCATACAGTATAATTATATGTATACTCTACATTTTACATGCTATGATACTTAATATATAATATAGAACATATAGTATAGCATATATAGTATATGTGAAAATTTTATTACATAATATATGTGTATAATAATCTATACATGATTAAATGCATTAAACAGATCATAATATATAACATGATATAGTATATAATAGTAACGTATAACTCTTTTCATAACATCACACAATGGGTTATAACAACTTGCTGAAATAAGGTGTATTATATTATCTTTATTATCGGTTATTATTTTATAATACAGGTAATGCATTGTGATATACTATAATACACTATGCTGTGATATGGTATGCTACAACAAACTAGAACATGCTATTATATATTACAATATGCTGCAGTATGCTACAACATTTTACATTTTGCCATTGTATGCTTTGCGGATATTGTAGGATAAGATTATATGCTACTGTATGCAATGTGCTGTCAAAAGCTACAATATGCTTAGAAAATAGTACCAAGACTGCGTAATATGCGTAATCATGCCTCAATACACCATACTGTTCTAGATGTATCATAAGAAATTATGATATACCAATATACTATAATATACCATAATATGCTGTAAGACTAGAATATATTATGATATGTTTATTTTACTGTAACCAGCTGTATAGTGCTGTTATATATTACACTATTCCATAATGCTTTATTCTTATCATATTATATTAGTCTACTATAGTACGCCATAGTATACTGTAATATTATCATAGACTATAACATGCTGTAATACACTGTAATATTCTATTGTATATTCTAGTATATTCCAAAAAGCTTTAATATGTTCGAACAGATTTTTACATAATGTAATATAGTATACTGTATAATCTTCTGGACTACACTGCGATATATTATATTGTATTATATAATAAGCTGCGATATACCGTAATATATCATAGCATACTAGCATATGTTGCGATATACTCTAATGTGTTAGAATATCCTAGAATGTACTAAAGGTAATACATATTCAGCATGCTAAGTAAACTATAATAGGCTGTACTGTGTTATCATATACTATATTCTAGTATAGTATGCTGGCATTGATTTCTGTATGCTGTAGTATGCAATATTACGAATAAATATTTTACGGTATGCTTCAATATATTATACGTTTTAATATGTGCTTATATACAATCGAAAAACTACATCGTACCATAATGTACAGTCATCTACTACAACATGCTATAACATGCTATAACATGCTGTACGCGAAGGGTTTAGGGCTCTTGCGTTTGTCGTGACTTACGCGTATTGTTTTGATGTTCGCGCTTTTCGCATTTTTCGCATTTTTAGCATTTTTCGCGCTTTTCGCGCTTTTCGCGGTTTTCGCGTTTTCGCGTTTTTCGCCTTTTTTCGCGTTTTTTCGCGTTTTCGCGTTTTTCGTGTTTTTTGCGTTTCCTCCGGTTAAACCGAGACACGCAAAACGTTTCCACAGCTTCTTTGGGGTGCTGTTGTGTTGTATCTAGCGGCTCCATCATGCAGCCTGCCTCCTGCTGTACGCTTGTCCCGCAGCCCATCTTGCCCGGCCCCGCCCCACCTGAGCAAAACTTCTGCTGAGTGTTGACGGCTAAGGCTTTCGCAGACTTGAGGTTTTTTAGAGGTTAGGGACTTGAGCCTGGTCAGCTATAGATCCCAGGATGAGAATTCAACACGTAGAATCATGCAACGTAAGCTGCCGCTTGTACCTGGCTAGGCTAGGGAAGTGAACTTTGCCTGAAAGCATTGACCTGGTGGTGTAGCGAAAAGTCTGGACTAATCCCCAAGGCATGCTACTGTTCCGGCAGGCTTGTCAAGCTGCTTCACCTACTGTGGAGGCACCACCTTGTATCCGCCATACCCCAGTATTATAAGGCTCGCAAGATTTTCTGCATCCACCACATCTGCCTCTTTATTTGGACTTCAGGAACTCAGCCAGGCAACGACACAACTGGCTCCTGCACTCTACAGTTCCCCAAACCTCCTCGTCTCAATATACTGTATATATCAATTGCTTATTACTAGCACTGACACTCCGAGTCCTATTATAACCATTGCTGCTTCTCTCGAGACTCAAACTTCTGTCCGAGCAACGACGTCGCGGAGCTTGCTGCGGGCTCAGCTTATTTTGAGCCCATATCCGAAGGAAAGGAACCATGAAAACAAAATTGAGCAGCGTCGAAAATCTAGACCTACATTGCAGGATTACATGCCTTTTCCTGCGCAGGCAAGCACTTCCTGACAGGAATAGCCCTGCACAAGCAAAGGGGTGAGATTAACGCTGGCCATTGTGAAGCAGAGTCCGAGAGCGCGGACATTATTCTATTTTCCAACATTTTGGAATAGGCCTAGTGGTCATTACTACGGCTATGCAAAGGTACCAGTACTCTGAACATGCTTCTTACTCTGAATTTCTGCAACCGCTGCTTCAAAGGCCCCTAACTGGTTTGTTGCCTACGAAGCATGAGGTCAGACCCACAAAGTTCCAGGCGGTTTCCCGCGTCGAAGCCAAGATGGGAATCTTTGCCCTAACTCTGTGATATCCCTCTCGTGGTCGTGACTAAAGGTGGTGATAGTCTTCGGCTGGGAACTGACACCTGTGAGAACAGGTTCGACACTCGTCTCACTTCCTCTGCTTTTTCTTTGGCTGTGGCTCCTGACCCACTGCCAATCATGCCGGCAATGGCAGCGTCAACACCAGATTGATCGGAATGATTATCAAGTATCAGATCTACAGTTTGCTTCAAAGCACCTGGGACCCGTGCGCTCCAGCCTACAGGTATCTTGTTGCAACTTTGGGGGATGCTGACCCAGATCCAACCATGCGATAG